TTCTTACTATACGCCAGACCCTGGCAGAGACGCGCCTCCAGGAACAAGGGCCAAGGGAAAGGCAGACACAGGTTCGGCACAGGTGCCAGGGACTCCTGGGGAGGGAACCTCGGGGCTCACGGGGCAGAGTCTCGGAGCCCGGCCGTGAAGGCAGGCATGCCACATGGTGCCATCCTGTGACCAGCCATCCTGCCCCATTGTGCTGGACGGCTGACCTCGGCTCCGGGGAGTGCAGCCTGCTTGGGGCCCCAGGGCCAGGACTGATGCCCGGTGAGGTGCAGGGGAGGGTCCAGAAGACCCTGCGCCCCGGCCTGGGCTGTCCTGCCTCTGTGGGTACCAGCCTGACCAGCCTGACCATCGGCCAGCAGGGCCGCCTCATACTTATGGAGCCTTCAAACCAGGAGGGAACCCTCTCAACCACACGGGAGGCCCCGAGGCAGGACTGCTCCTGGCGAAGCTCAGGGACGCTGGGCCCTGCTGTATGGCTGACTGCCTGAGACCCCCGGGGACCAGAAACCCGGGGGGCCCCCCATAAGGAGGGCACGCCCGACGGAGGCGGTGAGAGGCATAGGGCCGCTGGAGGCCGCCGGGCGGTGTAGTCAGGAGGAGACGCTGGGGCTGTGGGCTTCAAACAGGGGAGGGGGGCACCAGCCTGGAGAAGGGGTGAGGCCTGGGGGCCCATGCGAGCAGGGAGGCCCCAGCCAGGAGCGGGACAGAGGGACCTGCCGAGGGACACAGTTGGTGCCTCCCTATCGTGCCTCCCTGGGGGCTGCGATATGGTGATTGACTGCAAATCGATGTTGGGTCGTTGAGATGACCAAAGGCTAATCCTCACAGATACTTGGTCTTCGTCCACGGTGCCTGGCTCGCAGCTCCCGAACCCTTGGGGCGCCCAAGAGCAACAGAAGCTTCTTTTGTTACGGGAGCTGGTCCCTGTCTTCAGTCCCACAAGGGTGAAGAGGGTGTCTTGTTCTGTGTAGCAGCTGGGTGACGCGCTAGAGGGAGGCTCCAGAAAGGCCCTAAGGGTGGGGGCTGGGTGCCCAGGAGGACCGTTGGAAGGTTCAGTCCTGCCCCCTGACCTCCAGGGAGGGGAGGGGGCTGGAGATGGGCTCAATCGCCAAAGGCCGATGATTTCATCAGTCAGGCGTGTGCAGTGAAGCCTCCGTTAAGAGGAGGGGTTCCGAGAGCCTCTGGGCCGGCGAACACGTGGAGATTTGGGCGGGGGGGGGGGACCCTCAGAGAGTGTGGAGGTTCCACGCCGCGCCCCCACGCCGGACCCTGCTCACCTCTTCTGCCTGGCCATTCCCGATTATATTCTTTTATAATTAACTGACGATCCAGTGACGGATCCCCAAGGAGGGGGGCATGGGAGCCTCCAGTTTATAGCCCATCGGTCAGAAGCACAGGTGATAACCTGGTTGGGAGACTGGCCGCTGAAGGGGGGGGTCTTCTGGGAGTGGGCCGACTCCGGGTGGACAGGGCAGGATTTGCATTGAGTCATAGGACACCCAGCTGGTGCCCGAGACTGACACACGCCCGGGAATTTGATGATCTTGGCCCTTATGTGGGCCAAGAAATGCCCTGTCCCCTTCCGGAACGTTCTCCATTTCCTGTGGTTCCTCATGGGCTTCAGAGGAGGAGGCAGGCTTGCAAGCAAGCAAGCAAGCCTCCTCCGGTGTCACTGTGCCACCTCGGGCCTGCGTACAGGGAGTGTCCGCGGTAGGTGGTAGGCACACGGCTCGTAGTTCTGGGCTTTGGAGGCCAGCGCAGGCTAGAGCTGAACCAGGTGACCGCCTGCCTGGTACCGCCAGGCAGTACCGTGGGGTGACCGCCGTGCCTGCTTCTACAAAGCAGCTCAAAAGCAACAGAATATAAATAAAGAAAAAGTCGAAAGGCCGATGGCTTCTCAGTGCCCCCAACCAGCCCCTCTACACCCTCTTCTCAACTCTGTCCTTCCCCCCCCCCCCCCGGCTCTCTTGCTCCCCAGGGTCACCTAGGGCTGGTTCATGGGTATCTCTCTGCCCAGAACCCTGCTTCTGGGGACCCAGGGTGAGAGCCGGTCCCCTCCTCCCGCCAGAAGCCTTCTGAACCCCATCCCCCACCCCCACCGCTCCTGCCCTTGGGGGAGCCCTTCTGTGCAGATGGGGTGACAGAGGGTCAGGCTCCCTTCATGCAGGTGATGAGGGGCTTCTGAGGGCCAGCGGCTTAGCCACGCGACCACCAGACCTTTTCACCTGAAATGCGCCTCGCACTTGAAATGCCTCTCAGGGAGGCTCTCTGACCCCTCCTTCCAAACTGCAGTCTCCTCCCACCTCCTGTTACCTCCCCACACGCGTCTCCAAGAGCATCTGATGTTCGTCACTTGTTGACTTGGGGGACGATAACCACGGAGGCAAAGGATTTGTCGGTTTAGTGCTTTTGTCTGTGTCCTCAACCCCTGGAAAGATGCTGGACGCACGGTCGTTCCCGGACAATATGGGTGGAACGAATGAGTGAGAGTGCGTGAGTGAGTGAGTGCACACACAGCCTCTCTCCTGCCTCCTACCCAGCCCGAAGTCACCTCCAAGCTCACCCGATCCTTCCCCCGTAGCCCGGGGTGTCCACGGCTCTCTGAAAAAAGCCCCATCGCCCCAGCCCAGCCTGGAAAACTCAGCACGTGAGTGGACACACACGTGAAATTAGAAGACGCATGTTCCCACACACCGATCAGAATGGCCCAAGTCCAGAATACTGACAACACTAAATGTCGCCTGAGATGCGGAGTGGCAGGAACCCTCTTGCTGCCGCTGGGAAATGCAGGAGGACGGGGCGGCCGCCCTGGAAGCCAGGCTGTGGTTTCTCTTCATGGTTATGGAGCCATGAAAAGACAGAGAGGACCCTTAAGTGGATCTTAAGGGCAAGCGGCCAATCTGAAAGGACAGCATGCTGTAGGATTCCAACACTGTGACACTCTGAAAAAGGCAAAACACTGGAAAGTGTAAAAAAAGATCAGTGGTTGCCAGGGGGTTGCAGAGCACAGAGAATTCGGGCCATGAAACTACTCCGTATGACCCTGTCCTGGTGGATGCTTGTCCTTATACATTCGTCTAAACCCACAGAATGTACAACATCAGGAAGGAATCCTAATGGCAATGGTGGACTTCACTTAATAATAAGGTATCAGTATGGCTCTGTCACTTGTAACAAGTGTCCCAGCTCATGCAGCGTGTTAACGAAAGGGGCAATCCGTGGGGGAGCGGAGGGGCACATACTAGAATTTCTGGGTATTTTCTGCAAACCTGAAATTGCTCTAAAAAATAGTGTCTATTAAAAACAAAACAAGACAGGGGCGCCTGGGTGGCGCAGTCGGTTAAGCGTCCGACTTCAGCCAGGTCACGATCTCGCGGTGCGTGAGTTCGAGCCCCGCGTCGGGCTCTGGGCTGATGGCTCAGAGCCTGGAGCCTGTTTCCGATTCTGTGTCTCCCTCTCTCTCTGCCCTTCCCCCGTTCATGCTCTGTTTCTCTCTGTCCCAAAAATAAATAAACGTTGAAAAAAAAATTTTAAAAACAAAACAAGACAAAGTTATCAGCGTTTCAAATTTAACTGGGCATCTTCCATTTTATGTGGCAGCCCCAAACCAGGGAAGGCATGTGGCCAGTGATGGGGTAGGTCTGATGACACCAGGGAGGGAGGAAGAGGGAAGGTGCACGCAGGTGCCCCAGGCTGCCAGACCAGCCTCTGCGCCCAGAAATCCCAGGCCTGGTGGGGAGGAATCCCACTGGCAGATAATCAGAGAGACGGGGACGGAGTGTTGAGGGCTCTGCACCATGGAGACCGCATCCCTGCCCCCACCCTCCTCCACGACCCTCAGCAACCTGCTCAGATGTGATCCCTCTCCTTGGAGCAGCAGGTGGCCCCCTCCAACCCATCAGAGTCGGCCAACTGCCTTCCCCCGTCAGCCACACACACCGTGGGCCCGCCTTCCAGCCACATCTCTGAGGGCACGTCACACGTCACACCCAACATCATGCCTTGAAGTTCAAACACGACCAGAGGCGGTGCTGACCAGAAGTCTCCTGGCCCCGAGACCCCCATTCTCCAGCTCCATCCCCCTCCCTGCCACCCAGCATGCCCCCTCCCCACTGACTTCTTCCTACAGAGGGCCTGGAGCCCTGTCCTTCTCTGTGCCTCCCCAGAAGGCAGGGCTGTCTCGGCTAACGTCCCTAGCGGCCACTCACCGTTAGTCCCTTCCTCCTAGGTGAACCCACTTACGCCAAACACACGGACAAGGAGGGCACCCCAGCCGCTCGCCGTGACCCAGGCCCTCCTCTCCGAAGCCTGGGACGGCCAGCAGGGCCAGCCTCCTTGCTGCCTGAACCATGGTCACCCTGGAGGCAAGGCTCTCCTGCTACTTCCCGGGGGTCCCTTCTCTCCCCCACAGATTGCTGGCACTTCCCTCTTGCCCTCCCGGCTCT